GCTTAGTTGCTCCGTGGCATGTGGGATCCTCCCAGACCAGGGCTCGAACCCATGTCCCCTGCATTGGCAGGAGGACTCTTAACCGCTGCGCCACCAGGGAAGCCCAGCATCTCTTTAAACACTACCTCTGTCCCATTCTCTTTCTTCTTTTGGAACTCTGATTATGTATACATTAGACCTTTTCACCATTTCTCAGATGATTCTTATACTCTTTTCTATACTTATACTTTTCTATCCCAAGTGCATAATTTTCATGTTTTCTCCTTATCCATCTCCCAGTTCCAATCCTCTCATCACTATGTCTAATCTGAATTTTTTTTGTTGTTTTTGGAAAAAAAAATTTTGTGTGTGATGAGAACTTTTAGGATTTACTCTCCTAACAACTTGCATGTATAACGTACAGCAGAGGTAATTATATTTATCATGGTGTACATTCCATCCCTAGTACTTATAACTAGAAGTTTGTAGTTCCTTTTGACTGCCCATCCAACTCCTCCTCCCCCATGGTTTTCTAAAATTTCAGTTCTAGAGTTTCATTTTGCTTATTTTTTTTTTTATTATTTCAGTTCTCTGTGAAATTTGTTCACCTTTTTTCCTTAAACATGTTAATTCTAAGTCTCTGATCACTTTTAGTATCTGGATAAGTGGTAAGTGTATTTCTGTTTTTTCTTCTCCTGGTTTTTGGTACTTTGGTTCTGTCTCTTGGTATGCCTGGTCATTGAATGCCAGAATGAAAAATTATAGAGGCTCTGGATGATGTTTTTCTTTCCAAGGATTCGTTTTTGTTCAGGCAAGAAGCCATAATGACAGATTACCTTGGTCCTATGAGGCATTTAAGACATTTGGAGGTTGCTTTTCAGACTCTGCTTAACTGGCATATCGCCCAGTTTCCCTGTAAGGCAGCAGTTCTCAAACATTTTCGTCTCAGGACCCTTTTACATTCTCAAAAATGTAGGATCCCAAAGAAGTTTTGTGTGCATTGTATTGATTGATGTACCGTCAATATCTATTGACATTGAAAACTAAACCCAAGAAATTTAAAAATACACATTAGTTAATTTAAGGATAACAATAAAAACCCATTACGTGTTAACATAAATAGCATTTTTAAAAAGAAAACTATATTGCAAAACTTTCCAGCAAGAATTAGCGACATTTTAAATTTGCAAATCTTTTTAATGGCTGGCTTAGCAGAAGACAGTTGGATTCTGCTTCTGCATTCAATCTGTTGTGGTATCACAGGTGAGTGAATGAATGAAAAGGGCAGAAAACAGTGTTATATGGTGAAAATAGTTTTGACCTTGAGGGTGCTCTGGAAGGGACCTCATTTTGAGAACCGCTGCTTTAGGGCATAGTCTTCATGGTCTCGGTGAGCCTGGTGGTTCACAGGGCCCCTTGTTCCATACTCCGAGCACCAACATGGTGCTGAACCTTTCATTAGCTTTTTAATCTCATAGAAGTAGCTTTCTGCTTGATTTCCCTACCCCCATCCCACATGTAGCTCAGGAATTGGCAAATGCCACGAAGTGAAATCACGGGCAGACTGTCCACCTCAAATTTCCACATTTCCGTTTTCTTTAGCATCTTGGCCCCTTGAGTGCTAGCTGCCTTGGTAATCCCGAACCCCCATTTTGCTTTCCCCACCCAGGGAGGCTGCTGAAAGGCCCCGTCCCAAGGGGAAAGGCACAGGCCAAAAAGCATCTCTCCTCTCTCTAGGATCTTGGCCCCAAAGCTGTGGCTGCTGTGGTCGCTCTCCAGTGATTTCAGACAACTGGGTTTTTTTTCCTTTTTTATTCAGTTCGTATAGTTCTTGGCAGCAGTGTTAGTCTGATAAGAAATCTCCGTCATGGCTGGGAGTGGACGTCAGTGCACAGTTCTCTAACTTTTTCTTTTTCTTTTTTTTTGTGAACTTGTTTAACAGTTTACCTTAGAGATCTTTCCCCATCATAAACAGCCTCTTCATTCTTTTTCATGTACATAATCTTTTATTGTTGAGCCATTACTTGTTTCATTAGATGGTTTCCAGCGTGTCGCTGCTATAGGCAATCTGTAACTCCATGTGTAAGTTTGTACATGTGTACATAGATCCGTAGGTTAAAATCCCAGAAGTGGAACTGCCAAGTCTTTAATGCAGATGAATGGTTGTCATTTTGCGAGCTGTCACCTAATTTCCCTCCATTGTATTGTACCAATTCCCCCTCCCCCCAGCATGTCTGAGAAGGGCAAACTGGTTTTAGCTGAGTGGCCTAGACGCCGTGGCCAGACTCAGGACTTCACCCCATGCCTGAAGTCAGGTCACACCTCTGATCTCTCCCAGGACACATTTGACATCCGGATCCTGATGGCCAAGTCTGTCAAGTACACGGTGAACTTCTTAGAAGCCAAAGAAGGAGATTTGCACAGGTACTGGCACCCATGCCCTGTCCTCCTGGGTCTGGCTCCTGCTGGAGGTCAAGGCCGCAGCCGGCTCCCTCAGGCAGAATTCTCCTCCCCAGGGCAGGCGGGCAGAGACTCAACACCTGAGTACCCCTCTTCTCTCCTGGCAGCCCCTGTTCAGCTAGCTTCCCCAGCAATCACTGCCCTTTGCCTTTCAGGATAGAAATCCCATTCAAATTCCACATGCTGCATTCCGGGCTGGTTCACGGTCTGGCCTTTTGGTTTGACGTCGCTTTCATTGGCTCCATGTGAGTGTAACAGGGCAGAGCAGGTGGCCCCTGCCCCTGGCCCCAGGGACTTGCCTGCAGTTGGGAAGCCCAGGCCTGGCTGGCTCAGATGATGAACTGGGGGCTGCGAGGGCAGGACCCGACTCCTCTGGGCTCCACTGTTTCTTCCAAAGGCAGCAGGCGCTGGCCTTCAAGCAGTAGGCTGTTGTGGCGGGGTGGGTGTCTACCCTGTTCTGAGTGACTGTTCTTCACGGGACCTGACTGTGTCTCTTGGCATGTATGTCAGGGTGAGTGGGTGCCCCATAGCTGTGGGGCTGTGTGTTAACTTCCTGGATAGCCAACCTGTCTCGGCTCCAGGGCCCCAGGGGACCCCTGGGTGGCGGGGCACAGATGCCTGGGGAGAGCTCAGGGTGCACAAGGTGGGGGCTGCAGCCCGGGCAAACGCATGCCTCTTCCTGCTTGGCAGAATGACCGTGTGGCTGTCCACAGCCCCGACGGAGCCCCTGACCCACTGGTACCAGGTCCGGTGCCTGTTCCAGTCACCACTGTTCGCCAAGGCCGGGGACACGCTCTCAGGGACATGTCTGCTTATTGCCAACAAAAGGTGTGAGCTGCTGGCCGGGGCTGGGGGAGGCAGGGCTCCAGTCCATCCATGCAGCCAGCTCATGGCCGGCCCCTCCTGCCTTCTCTACAGACAGAGCTACGACATCAGTATTGTGGCCCAGGTAGACCAGACAGGCTCCAAATCCAGTAACCTCCTGGATCTGAAAAACCCCTTCTTCAGGTAGGATGGGCCCTTGGCCAGCACGCGGTGGGAGGGGGCGTGCCCCTCCTCGCCTGCAGCCCCTCAGCCCTGTCGACCCGTCCGTCTCTGCCACAGATACACAGGCACGACGCCCTCCCCGCCACCTGGCTCCCACTACACGTCCCCTTCGGAGAACATGTGGAACACCGGCAGCACCTACAACCTCAGCAGCGGGATGGCCGTGGCTGGTGAGCAGGCCCGTGTGTGGGTGGGGCAGGTGCCAGTGTCACTTCCTGGACACACCTGCCGGTGCTTCCTGAGTAAACGCTGGCAGTTCTGGCCCCTCGAATCCCTGCCCAGGACACTGTCCCCCGCCCCTGACATGTCCCTCCCCGGCACAGGGATGCCGACCGCCTACGACCTGAGCAGTGTTATCGCCGGCGGCTCCAGCGTGGGGCACAACAACCTGATTCCTTTAGGTGAGCGCACGGGGGGTGGGCGCGCTGGGGCGAGCTCAGGCCTTCGGCCTCACCCCCTTTTCTTCTTCCCGGGGGCTGAGGTCCCCCGCGCCGTTCCTCTCTGCCTCGCTCTGCCAGCACCGCGCCCACACTCCCCACATCCGAGTGTGAGCACCCACTACGCCGGGCACGTGGGCCGGGCGGGCTGGGGGCGGTGACGCCATCTCCTTTCCTTCCTTCCTTCCTCTTGCTGCGCAGCCAACACGGGGATTGTCAATCACACCCACTCCCGGATGGGCTCCATAATGAGCACGGGGATTGTCCAAGGTAACGGTGGGCGGGGGGAGCAGGGTCCCGCGGGTGTGAGGGTGCCCACCGCCGGGCGCCCGCCTGCCCTCTCGCCTGCGCTCTCTCTCTCTGACTCTGCCGTGGGTCTGGGCGGGCGAGGGGGCAGAGCTGGCTCCTCAGTGCCCACACCCCGCCCCACAGGGTCCTCCGGCGCCCAGGGCAGCAGCGGTGGCAGCTCCAGCGCCCACTACGCGGTCAACAGCCAGTTCACCATGGGCGGCCCCGCCATCTCAATGGCCTCGCCCATGTCCATCCCAACCAACACCATGCACTACGGGAGCTAGGGCCCTCCGGAGTGGAACGGACTGACAGCACCAGGAAACCAAATGAAGACCCTGCCCACCCCCCCTCCACCCGGGTGGCTCTCACCCTTGTACCGGAGAAGCCCAAACACCCGCTCACAGCCCTCTTTGCTATGGGAACTTGAACACTTTTTTACACGATGTTGCCGCCGCCCCCAGCCCGCTGCCCGCCCACATCTTGGCCCTGAGCGCGTGTCGCTGCCATATTTTACACACGATTGTGTCGTGGGAGCCCTGTTACCCGCTCCTGCCCTCTCCACCCTGACCTGGGTTTGAAATCTTCTGTAACAGGTGTGTCCGGGCCTGACAGCTGCAGGCCTGGCAGGGAGGGAGGGGAGCAGCTGCCGCCCGCGCCCCCCCTACCCCCCGCCGTCCCCCGGCCCCTCAGGCCTGCCCCCTGCCTGTCTCCAGTGGGAAGGCAGTCCTGGTCAGGCGGGGCCTCCCCTTCAACTACCAGGCCTTGGTCACAATGGGCGTGACATGCTGCTTTTTTTAATTTTATTTTTTTACGAAAAGAACCAGTGTCAATCCACAGACCCTCCGAGACATCAGGCCGGCCGGGCCGAGCCAGCAGCCCCTCTCCCCGACTCAGAGGCTCAGTGGCGAGGGGCAGCCCTGCCGAGTCTTCAGGATGGGGTGGGGCCGGGCCTCTGGAGCCCCTCGGCCCCCTCCCACCAAAGGGTTCACCTCACACTTGAATGTACAACCCACCCGGCTGTCGGGAAGGCCCTCCGTCCTCGGCCCCTGCCACTTGCTGCTGTCCTGTCCCTGAGCCCCTGCAGGTCCCACACCCACACCAAGAGCTAGAACAGGTGGCCTCGTGGGCCCTGGGGGGAAGGGTCACTGTCAGCCGCTTGAGCAGACACAGAAACCTCAAGGGTCTGTCGTGGAAGGCATCCTTTTTCCTTGTAGCTAACGTTAGGCCTGTGTATCCCCTTCAGTATTTGTAGATGCTCCAGTCCCTACTACTATGATGGCATTTTGGTCCCTCCCCAGCCTGGGAAGGGGCCTTGCAGGGACCTCTCCAAAAAAAAAAAAGAAAAAAAAAACCTAATAAACAAGGAAATGTATGTTTCAGCACAGGCAATTTTCTTCTACTTCTGCTCCCCGTTTCTAACACCCCCAAACTCGGATGTGGTGGAGCTCAGGCTAGGCCCAAGGCCCACTAACTGGGCCCCCCAGGAAGAGCAGGCACAGCCGAGGCTGGGGTGGCCCCCTGTGCTGCCCGCCCATCCTGGCAGGTGGCCTGTGGGGCAATGGCTGCCCTGGAAGCTCCCTGTTCTGCCCCTCTCCCGCCTTTATATAAATTCTTTGAATCACCTTTGCATAGAAAATAAAAGTGTTTGCTTTGTAAGAAAAGTCTGGAAAGTAGCAAAATCATCTCGAGGTCTCAGGGGAGCCTTCAGTCACCGTCTGGGGGGCAGGGCAGGCAGAGGCACCCCCTTATGTTGGGCCTGAAAGAGAGAAACTCCTAGGAGTGGCCCCATGACTTCTAACCTTGGGATGGGGGCCGGAGACCCCCTCAGCCACAACTGGAAACAGTTCCTCACCTGCGGGCTCCAGTCTTCCTAGGCTGCTGCGGACCTTGGCGGGGGCGGTGACAGTAGTACGGTTGGGGGCTGAGATGTGGCCTGGTGGGGAGGTGCTGCGGGCTCCAGAGGTAGCGGCTGGAAGAAGTAAAACTGAACCGAGAGAGCCCTGGGTCAGCATCAGAGCCAGCAAGCCAACCCCTACCCCAAGCCCAGCCTGTGCCCACCCCAGCCCGGTACCTTACAGCCCGTGGCCAGGAGGGCGTGGAGCAGCACCACCACGGAGAGCAGCAGCACAGCCGCCAACCGGGTGTCCTCACGGACGACGGGCCAGAGGGTGAACACCAGGCCCGCGGCTGACAGGGCCAGGGCCAGGGCCCCGGAGAGCCACTGCAGCCATGGGACAGGGATGAGCCACAGGACCTGGGGACGACACAGGCAGCTGCTACCAGGTTGTCCCCATGGTGCCCAGGGCCCACCTGTCCCTGAGCCCCACTCACCACAGTGGGGATGAAGACAAAGAGGGAGTAGCCATAGACGCACACCGTCTCCAGGAAGGTGTAAGGCCCCATGCGCTCCCGGACACCCTTGCGCCACTGCAGGAAGCCCCACAGCGCCAGCGGCACGAGCCACGCGTAGCAGTAGATGGCGGTGCCGGCCACAGTCACTGCGGGCAAGGCAGGTAATCGCCCCTGGGCCACGGCACCGCCCCCCCCCCCGCCCGCCCGGTACCAGGCCTTGCCCACTTCACTTACCTTTGTGGAACTGGGGGCTGTAGTGGATGGAGGGGTCCCTCCTCTGGGCCAGCACCAGGGTCAGGTTGCCGGTGACGGCCAAGACAAAGGCCAGTGTGGCACAGATCCAGAAGGGGCCTGCGGGCGGGGCATGCTCAGGGTCCCAGGGTGGGACCTCCCAGGACAGGTGACTCGTCCCATCTTGTCCCAGCCTCTTCCCAAGCTCCGGGCTGCCTCCACCCCCTCCGCCCCCCCCATCGACCCGACTCATCGACCTGGCGTCACACCAGCAACAAACTGGCAGCTGAATCCAGTGCTGGCGCCCAGCACTCATCGATGGCCTTTGACATAGCTGACGCCCTCCTTCTGGAAACACTCTCCATGTGGTTCCCAGGACTTTACGTTTTTGCTTTTGTCTCATCTCACTGGCAGCTCCTCAACCTTTTTGACTCCCTGAGCTCTTTAACAGCGGGGAGCCGGCCCGGGGCCCAGTCTTCAAACCTCTTCTCTGCATTCATTCACCCCTTGTGTGATCTCGTTCAGCCTCAGGGCCCTTATGCCACCTCTGTGCCGACGACCCCCAAATGTCTCAAGTCTGGGCATCTGCCCTGAACCTGCAGCTCCTATTCAACGTTCCCACTCCACCCCACCACACTCACCCTTTCCCCCCGAGTCGCACGCCTTTCCGCATCAGTAAATGGCAACTCCCGCTTTCTGGTAGTCCAGCCAAAAACTCTGGAGCCTCCTTATCTCCTCTCCTTCCACCCCACATCTGACGTGTTGGCTTCATCTTTGACGTGTGCCAGAATCCAACACCCGGCGCTCTCCACCCCAGGCCAGGCCCATCATCCCACGCTGGACCTCAGCAGCCGCCTCCTCCCTGGTCTCCCAGCTTCTGCCCTCCCCCCACTCCGCCCCCGCCCCGGGCCCAGAGCACCTAAGGACACTTAACTAATTTCCCTTCTCACCACAGCATAGGAGGCCTGTGTGATCTGTCCTGTCACCTCTGTGGCCTCCTGGCAGCTCACTCCAGTCCAATGACAGTGCTGCCCTGCAGTGCAGGCCTGTTTCCACCACATCCCACTTCTGTAATGTTCTTCCCTGGGGTCTCCCCACACCCCGCCCTGACACCAACCAGGCTCATTCTCTCACCCTCCTCAGAGGGGTCTTCCCTGACCAACCCGTGCGAAATCACAGTTCCCATCCTCTAAACCCTGTGCTTCTCTCCCTAGCCCCAATGCCCTCTGCAGCCTCATTTGGCTCTATCTCCCTGAACAGACTGTAAGTTTCACGCTCTCCATGAGTGATTCTGCTTTGTTCTCAGCTGTATACTGGGGCCTGGCACTCAGTCCACATTTGCCCAATGAATAATCAAATGAACTGAATGCACAACCTCACTCACCATACAGGTCTGGCCGATTCCGCAGATGGTGCCGTACAAAGTTGTGGCCGGGCCGGGGCAGCAGCGAGCCTTTGATCCGGTCCAGGACCTGGGGGGCAAGGCCGGGGCCTAGGATGGAAGCCCGCCTGGGGCTCTTCACCACCCAGGAGGAAAGGGGTCAAGCTCCTCAGGGGCTCCTGTCTTCCTATGGCCTGGAGCCCGCCCCTTCCCCGGGCAGCCCCCACTCAATATCCCAGTGTCCCACCACTCTGAAGGACGCTTCAGGGCCTGCCATCTTCTTCTTTGCTTCCTCCGCCTCCAGCTTGGCTGCCCCGGACTCCCCTTTTGGCTCTCTCCCCCCTCCCCATTAACAGTCGTCAACAAGTCCTAGTCCTGGGCGTTCTCCTTCCCCCATCTCTCCCAACGTGTTCCCTACTCCGCAGCCCTGGTTTATTACCATCTCCCACCCTGGCCTGGGGCCTCCGATCCATGTTCCATGCTACTCAAGCGTCTCCTGCTCTAAACCCTTCCATGACTCCCCAGCACCCTTAGGATAAAACCCAGACTCCTTAACATAGCTCATGAGGCCCTTGGTGATCTGGCTTCTCTCCGCCAGTCCCCCACCTCACTCTCCAGCCTGAGTGACAGGTAGCCTCTGCAGTAGTGTGTGCCTTCTCTCACCTTTGGTCCTCCGCATGTGCCGTTCCCTGTGCCTGGAACATACTTATGCTTCCCTCCACTCTTCCTGGCTAGGTCTACCTTCTCCTCTAAGTCTCAGCAAATTCCTCACCTCCTCCAGTGGGCCCTTCCCTAACCCACCATATCACTTGTGTCCCCCATGTTCCCAAGAGTCCTGGTCATGCCACATCCTTGCAGCACACACAGTCACACCTACCAGCCTGGGTAGGAGCTCTTGTTCTCCCAGGTGCATATTGCCAGCACTTGCCCAGGGCCTGGTGCACAAGAAGTGCTCAGTGACTAGTGGCTGAACCCCAAGCGTGACTCCAAGTCCCATCCCACCAGCTTTCCCGGCCTGACCTGTGAGGTGTCCACGTCAAAGAAGCTCTGATAGTAGCTAAAGGTCCAGAAACCAGGCTGCTGCTTCTCCTCCTGTAGGAGCTGCACAGTGCAGGCTTTCAGCACTTGGGGGGTGGCAGGGGTGGGTGGTTGGGACAAGGGGCAGGGCACAGGGACTTATGGGACTCACCGCGGTCTTGTCACTCTCCTCCACCTCGTCCTCAGCTCCGTAGCTGCCACTTGAGTCCACGGCCACAGCCACGTGCTGCTGGGGAACCAGCTGATCACCTCTGGTGGTGGCCTCATTTGGGGTCTGGGCCAGCAGATTAGTAGCTTCCTCGAACTCTGTCAAGAAAGCATACGGGACACAGGCATATTTGGGAGTCAAGACAATTTGGTTTCGGGGCTTCCCTGGTGGTGCAGTGGTTAAGAATCCGCCTGACAATGCAGGGGACATGGGTTCGATCCCTGGTATGGGGAGATCCCATATGCCGCGGAGCAACTAAGCCCATGAGCCACAACTACTGAGCCTGCGCTCTAGAGCCCGCAAGCCACAACTACTGAGCCCATGCGCCACAACTACCGAAGCCCACGTGCCTAGAGCCCGTGCTCTGCAACAAGAGAAGCCACCGCAATGAGAAGCCTGCGCCCTGCAGGGAAGAGTAGCCCCCGCTCGCCGCAACTAGAGAAAGCCCGCGCACAGCAACGAAGACCCAACACAGCCAAAACTAACTAACTAAATAAATTTATCAAAAGCAAACGAAACAATTTGGTTTTGCCCACTGCTCATCTAGGGGCCAACGCTAACCGTAACCACCTGGGTGTTCACCCCCAACTCAGGGCACGTCTTCCTCAACTCTGGTGAGTGGGAAAGAGGTGTGTCCCCTCCCTTCTAACATGGGCCCGCAATTGAGGGCTGATCCTGGAATGAGGTGGCGGCTCGGCTTTGAGGCCTGAGTTTAGGGCGGGAGCGGCATTCGAGTTAGGGATGGGTTTCATGCCTGGGCCGGGGTTCACAGCTGACTGGGGTTCGGGTTAGATCTGAGCTGGAACCTGGATGGGAGGTTCAGGCCAGCGGAGGGGGCAGGAGCCGGGCCCGGTCGCGGATGCACTCACCGTGGAAGGCCAGCTCGTCTGCCGCTGCCATGGTCGCTCAGGGCCGTCACTGCATCCCGCTCTGAGGACAGAGGCCAATCAGGCCCGCCCCCGACCTCTCTCGGGGCCCCTCCTGGAGGCTAGCCTCAGCCCCGAGCCCGGTCTGGCGGCTAACCGCACCCACCGGGGCGTGAACTCGCCGCTCCTGCCCCACAGGTGCACCCACAGCCCCCTCACCTTCGGCTACCTCAACCGGCGTGGCCCCGGCTCTCTGCGCCTGCGCAACCCGCCTGCCAGCCACAGACGACCGTACTCCGATCTGACAGGAACATCCGGCGTCGGTCCGTATTCTACCCTCTTCCGATGGGAATCCACTTCCGGCAGTGTTGACGCTTGCGCAGAAGAGACTCCCCGGGCCTTCTGCTTCGCCTACCTGGCGTTTCTCTTCGGAGTACGGACGCAAAGCCGGAAGACAATGGCGGCGGCCGTTCGGAAGAGATTTTGGCCCCGAAGCCGTGCAGAGACTGGTGACACTGCGGCCGCAAAGCCCGGCGTGTGGGCACGGTTGGGTGAGTAGCGGCGGGAGGCGGCGGGGTGGGCGGCCGCAGCGGCCGCACCGCCCTCACCGCGCTTCTCTCCCCTCAGGCGCCTGGGCCCGCGCGCTGCTCCGGGACTACGCTGAGGCCTGCGGGGATGCGGCGGCGGCGGCGAGGGCCCGACCCGTGCGGGCGGCCGTGTACGTGGGGCTGCTGGGTGGTGCGGCGGCCTGCTGCGCCCTCGCGCCGAGCGAGGCGGCCTTTGAGGAGGCGCTGCTCGACGCGTCGGGGACCCTCTTGTTGCTGGCGCCCGCCACGCGCAACCACGACTCGGAGGCGTTCGTGCAACGGCTGCTCTGGCTGCGGGGTCGCGGCTGCCTGCGCCACGTGAGCCTGGGTCTCTGCTCGCTGGTGTACGAGGCGCCCTTCGACGCCCAGGCCAGCCTCTACCAGGCCCGCTGCCGCTACCTGCAGCCCCGCTGGGTCGACTTCCCGGACCGGATCCTGGATGTGGGCTTCGTGGGCCGCTGGTGGGTGCTGGGGACCCGGATGCGCGACTGCGACATCAACGACGACGAGTTTCTGCACCTGCCGGCACATCTGCGCGTCGTCGGGCCCCACCAGCTGCACTCGGAGGCCAACGAGCGGCTCTTCGACGAGAAGTTCAAGCCCGTGGTGCTCACCGACGATCAGGTGGACCAGGCGCTGTGGGAGGAGCAGGTCTTGCAGAAGGAGAAGAAGGATCAGCTCGCCCTGAGCCAGGCCGACTCGCTGGTGCCGTCGGAAGTCGCGAGATGAAACCCAGACCAGCCTGGGTCCCGATCGGGCTCTGAGCCCCGGCAGACTGTTGGCCCGGGATTGTGCAGTTGGTGCGAGTGAGCCTCAAACGTGGAGTGACGGAAATAAATTATTTGCACTGTTCTCTCCCTGCGTTTTCACAAAATCGGGGGCCTCCCTCTCACCTGTTGCTTGTGAGCTGACGCTAATTCGGAGCCTCCTTGGTCTAGGAGTTGGGGAGAGCAGAGCGGCATGCCACGTCATGTTCAGCACTGCCAGAGTTAGCAAGGAGCATTAGACCGAAATAAGCCTTTTTTTACTGGGCTTCACAGCCTGAGGTATCACAGTTGTTAGGTAACTCCCAAGCTCTACTAAGAACTTTGAGACTGACCTGGGATAGGTCAAGTGCCCTCTTCACACCTCAGATTCTTTTTCTGTAAACAGGAGCACAATGTGCTCGGGGTGTTAGCAAAATCAGAGACCACCAGAATGCACTTGGTACCTAGCAGGCCCTCGCGGTGTGCAGTGGGGCTGAGTGGGGAGGATTGCAGCTCTGACTCCACACCCTTCCTGCCTGCCCCTGGGAAGGGAGCACAGCTCCCCAGCTTCACCTGCAGCCCCGCAGGGCCGCCCCGGGAAGTGCTCAGTAAACGGAGGACCACAGAGCCGGGAGCCTGGGTTCGCTTCTCTCTCAGAACAAAAGGATGCTTGGCTATAACAGGAACGTTTTCCAGTTCTCTCTTTTTCTTTTCATACTTAAGTAGCTTGAATCACTTCAGCTTTCCAGGCCAGTCCAGGAGTTGGCCTCTAGATGTCCTCAGGGGCTGCAGGAGCCGGGCCGGGCGAGGTGCCTACTGTCCTCGCCAGGCACGCGGGGGCGCAGGTGAGACACGGGCAGAGGTGCTCCGCTCTGCCTCACCCAGGCCAGCCCCTCTGGCTGTGTGTCCCTGGCCCTGTCTTCCGGGACCCCATAAGTGTGCTGGGTGCCCCCGAGAGGAGGCCCGCCCGTGACCATGGGGCAAGGCAGGCCTCCCACCCGCCAGAGCCCCATGGACCCCTGCGAAGAACTCGGGCACCGCATGGCCATGACACACACCAGGCAAACCTGGAGTTTAGAAAATCACTGCCCACAGACCCTGCAAGGGACCCCCTTCTTTAAGCATCACAGAATGGGGACACCCCAGCTAGGAGCGTTGGCCCCAGGCCCTTTTCCTTTCTTACCTGTCCCCTGTTGCCACACCTCTTTTGAGTCTTTTCCTGTGATCACCTTCTGCTTCCTGGAGCTCTGGCCCCCGCCTGCCCACCTCCTCACCTGCCTTATGTTTTCCAAACTTCTTCTGGCACTGGGGCCTCGTGGGTTTCCCTTTATTTCCTCTTTATGTAGATCTCTTCCTTGGAGCAGAGCCCCATCCTGCCAGGGCAGGGATTCTTTCTGTCTGCCTGTCACCCTCTGCCTGGAGCAGCACCTGGCGTGCAGTAGGCGCTCAGTGAATACTTGTCAGATGCACCAGCATGCCAGGTGGGGGGTGGCTGCAGCTGCTTGTCGGCTGCCACTTGCCAGTCCCGGCACACTGCTGTGCCCTCCACTGTGGCAAGGCCTGTTCTCGTGGGGACACTGGTATCCTCAGCCCGCGGCACCTCCAGTTCAGGCTTTTTGCCTACCCAGCAGCTTCTAATTCAGGTGCTTGCTTGGGAGATGCTCTCAGCTGTCTGCCCTGTGTTTGGGGGGGCCGGCTCCCTGCTTCCCCCCCACGGGCATTAAGGGGCGGGGGGGGGAGGCCCGCCCCCCCCCCCCCCCACTGGGCTGGAGGTGCCACAGATGAGCGTCTGGGCCACCCTTCTGGCTGGGGCCCCTGTTACCTGTCTGGGCACAGAGGGCAGGCCAGGCCTGGGCATGCTGGCGCAGGGAACTCAGTGGGTGTGCCCTGCGTGGTCTGGCCGTGGTGCGTGAGGCTTCCTTGGCGGGCGGGACAGGAGACCACTGCAGTGCCTTGTGCTGCGGTCCCTTGAGGACTGATGACGGAGTATGAGCTCACGGTGGTGGGTGCCAGAGGCGTGGGGAAGAGTGCCCTGACCATCCAGCACATCCAGAACCACTCTGTGGATGAGTACTTTCCCACCATAGAGGTGAGCCGGCCCGGCTCCCGTCCCCAGCCCAGCTCCTGACACGGGCTTGTCTCCCACCCACACTGCAGGAGGGGTCTCCTTGTCATTGGTCCTGGGGGGCATGAGAGGAGCGAGGGAGGGTCCCATCCCTGGAGGGCCGGCTGTCTCTAAGCAGTGTCCTCCCCAGGACTCCCACCGGAAGCAAGTGGTCATCGATGGGGAGATGTGCCTGCTGGGCATGCTGGACACGGTGGGCCGGGAGGAGTACAGCGCTGTGCGGGCCCAGTACACGTGCACCTGGGAGGGCTTCCTCTGTTTGCCGTCAACGACGCCAAGTCCTTCAAGGGCCAGATCCTTCGAGGACATCCGCCAGTACAGGTGAGCTGCCCGGCAACCCTCGGGGGCCTCCCGTCTGCTCTCTGCGTGTCCCGGGTGCAGCCGAGCCCACAGCCCACCGGCCAACTCATACCTTCCCCCTTGCAGGGAGCAGATTGAGTGGTTGAAGGACTCGGACGACATGCCCAGGGTGCTGTTGGGGAACAAGTGTGACTTGGCCACGTGTACCGTGGAGTGTTGGCAGGCCCAGGACCTGGCCCACAGCTATGGCATCCCCTACATGGAGACTTCGGCCAAGAAGGGCCAGGTGAGCCGGAGCGACCCCCGCCCCGCCCAGGGGCAGCTCCCTCGACGCAGGGCAGCCGCTCTGGCTCTGGCTGTAGCTCCAGGACCCTCTGGGACCCTCTGGGACCCCTGTTGCCCAGCAGCCCCTCACGCTGTAAGTCTCCCTGGACGTCAGGACAGCGAGGGAGGCCAGCGTCTGGGTCTGGGCCGACACAGCTCCCGGGGGATATGGAGGTCCGTAGAGAGAGCTGCCCTGACCAGGCTGGAGCAGTGACCCTGGGGCCCCAACCCCTGTACCCCCAGAGCAGCAAGGAGGTCCCAATCGGCCCAACCCCCCAGGAGGCCGTGGGGGAGTTGCTGAGGACAAGCCTCCCAACGGGGTGGCCCTGGGGATCAAGACGGGCAGGGCCCAGCTCCCTGTTTGCGGGGCGGGGTGAGGAAGGGGCTGGGGTTCCACTTGAGGCCAAGGCAGTGGTCCTCGCAACGAGCTGGCCCCCTCTTGCCAGGGCGTGGAGGATGCCGTCTACAAGCTGGAGCACAAGAGCCGGCAGCACAAGGCGAGCAAGCTGGGCCCGCCCGCCCCACGGGGGTGGCCTGGGCTGCCTGAGCTGCAGGGCCTGCTCTCCCAACTGAGGCACAGGCGACAGGCATGGAAGAGGCACCCGCAGGGAGGATGCAGGGAAGGAAGCTCCGGCCCGCCCAGGTAGGTGATGGAGGGACCATGGGTCTGCCGGGACCCCTTGCGCAGACTGTCGTGAACTGATGCCACTGGCCCCCCAGCTATCACTCTCCTCAGCCCCATACTGGCCCACGGGGCACATGCTGAGTCACTGTAGAGTATCTGATGGGCTTGACCCTGGTGTTCGGCTGAGTCCGGGAGGCCGTTGTGCGTGTGGCCCCCCAGGAGGCATGTGGGAACCTCAGCTTGGTCCTGCTGGTGGCCCCTCTGTCTCTGGGGGCCCCGGGTGCGTCCTGCAGAGACGCAAGAATGGGCCAGTCTAGCACGTAACACATGAAACTTTATTCACCTTCAACCAGCAAAGGGGGAAACTAAGACAAAGGGTGTCCCTTCCTCTGGGAGGGAGGCTTTCATAGGGAAGGGCTCTGGGGGCGGGGAGCTCATTTGGACTCCGGCTGGGGTCGTATCTTCTGAGTTTTGGGGACCCTGAAAGGCAGTAACTGACTTTGGCAAAGGCAAGGGTGCAGCCTGTTGGGTCCAGCCCGCCCAGAGTGCCCCCTGCTCTGCCTCGTGGGGCCCAGATGGCTGCGTGGGCTCTGGTATCGGGCCAGCCCTGCCTCCTTATGTGTATGGGGGTGCGGTCAGCCCACCTGCCCCTGCCACCCCCTCGGTGGAGGTGGCCTGTTGCTCCCAGAGCCACCTCAGGTCACCGAAGTGTCCTTGTGGGGCATGTCTAGGCCCCAGCTGGTCATGTGCAGCTCCGAGAGGGCCCGCCTGGCCTTGGGCCAGAATTCTGGACTGGCCCGGGTGGCCCCTTTAGGCACCATTCTGGCTGGTGGGGTGCTCATGGCGCGCCTGCCCTCCCGGGGCCCAAATGCAGGCCAGGCCAAGCCCTTCAGGGTCAGGACCTTGTGCCGTGCAAGGGGGGCACCGTCCCGCGGGAAGGCCAGCGTGAAGCAGCAGGGCGTGTCGCTGGCTTCCCAGGGCCTCAGGGTCACTGTGCTCACAGTCACCTTGTCTTCTGGAGGCCCCTGTGTGTCCAGCTTCTCTGGGGACACAGACGTCAGGGGGTTGTAGGCACGTGCGCGGCCTTGGGGCAGCTCTTGGGGCGCCGCCCTGGCTCCGCTGTGGCCGTGCTGGTCACTGCCCCGGGAGGGGCGCTGGCTGCAGGTGCCACAGGGCAGGAGGAGCGTCCTGGGCCTGGCGGCGCTGTCTTCAGCAGGCTGGGCAGAGCCGGTGGCAGGGGGCCTCAGTGGGGTTGCAAGGCCAGGCCTGTCGTACGACCCTGGGGGTGGTCCGGCCAGACGCTGCAGGGGAAGGGACCCAGCCTTCTGGCTGAAAGCTGATGTCCGCGGGCCACTTGCCTGTGGCCTTATGGTTCACTGGGAGGTTTGGGAGGGAATTCCATCGCCGTGGCAACAGCCAATCCTGAGGGCTGTCCTGGGCTGTGGACCGGCAGGCCAGCCGTGGAGCTGATGTTCCTTGAGGGAATGTTCTGGAAAGAGCAGATGGGGTGGGGGCTACCTCCCTTGGGGCCCCACAGGAGTCTGGGTTACTGGAAACGTTCATCCCTGCTAAGATTTCGATTAATAATGTGGCATCTTCAGGATCAAAACTCAAGTTTCATGACAACAGCAATGCTTGTTAGGCCTCGAGCTAATTGTTAAAAAACCTTTCCGCTGCGGCGAGCACCTGGCAGCCCCGTCAAGTGCGGGTCTTATCAACCCAGGAATTAGGTGCTGTTTCTGTCCTGAAACGTGGAGTCTGCACCCCAGCCTTTCTGCTCAGTCTAAGATTGGGGAGCCCCCTACATCATCTCTGTGACCCTGTGCGCCTGCATCCCTGGAAGGGGCAGGGCCTGGGCGCGGGGATACTCACGGTGTCATACACGGAGTAGGCTGCCAGCACGTGGAACAGGGCTTGCTGCCTGGGGAAGGGCACACAGGGGTGCTTGTTTCATGCTGATGCTCTTGGTTTCATATTGTCTGACAAACCCTCATGACAAAACAGTGTGTTTAAGAAATAACGCAAAAAAGCAGTGAACTCTTCAGGACACCTCAGTGTGAAACATTTTTCATGGGTAAAGTGTACATGTAAGGAAACGCATAGATCCCAGGTGTACCGTGTGATGAGCTTTGATTTTCTTTATTTTTTCAGTTTGCACACGTAACAGCTCAGTCTCTGGGATGCATGGCCTGTGGGTTTTCACACAAGGGTGGGGCCGCCGCATCCGCACCCCAGCGTCAGCCCCCAGCCTCGCAGCCCCAGCAGCCACTGCTCCTTATCCTCCCGGGGTTGCGCCTTTTCCAGAACGTCCTGTGAATGGAGTCATACATGGGTCTGGATTCTTTCACTTAGCAAAACAAGTCTAAGACTCACTCGTGCTTTGAGTGAATCAATAGCTGGTTCCCTTGTGTCCCTGAATCGTAGTCCGTTTCATGGAATCCCACGGTTTTTCCATTCCCTCTTTGAAGATCATCTTGGTTGCTTCCAGTTGTTAACGATCATGAGCAGAGCAGTGAAGATTGCATGCAGGTTTTATGTGGGTGTATGTTTTCTAGTCCTTTGGGTAAATCCAAAGGAGCATGATTGCTGAGCACATGGTGAGGGTGTGTGCGGTTTTGTCAGAAACCGGCAAGCTGTCTCCCACGGTGGCTGCGCCATATGCATCCCCGCCGGTGCTGGACGGGAGTTCCTGTTGCTCCACGTCCTCGCCAGCGCTTTGCTTCTTATTCTGCACGAGTCTTTCGTTAGATATATGATTGGCAAATCTTTTCTCCCAGTCTGTAGCTCTTTCATTCTCTTAACTGTGTCTTTTGCAGAATGACAGTTTTACATTTAGGTACGGTTGTACTTGTCGCTGCTTTCCATCATGATTTTATTGAAGTTCCTTACTGATGGGCACTCGTGTTTTTCTGATCTGGCAAATGCACAAGGGCCAACGGAGGGCTCCAAGCTCATGCTCTTCCCACCTGTAGAGGATGCTGTCTGTCACCTCCGCGCTCTTAGCTTTAACAGTGTGTTCATGGTACCTGATGACCCCCAGCCAGAACCCCCTGAGATTCCTCGACCTTCCCTCATGGTTGTGACCTCACTGCTGAGGTGAGACGGACATGGTGACGTTGATTTGGTGCCAATGTGCACATCTCTTAGGAGCGAGGTGATCAAGCATATTTTATCATTCCTTCCTTTTTTTTGTGAACTCTCCCTTATCATTTCTCATATTTTTGCCTTGTAAGAAACTGATTTGTAGAAAGTCCTCATCCATTAAGGGCATTAGAACGGTAAATATTTTCCCCCAGTTTCATAGTTTCTTTGAGTTTGATTAGGGATTTTCCCCCATGCAGATACTTGATTTTCATGTGGTTGAATCAGCCAGTTTTTAAAGTGGAATCTAGGATTTTGTCTGACTTAGAAAGGCTTTTGGTAATTACGGTAGCATTAGTGTAACCTTTATCTATGTCTTGTAGCTGGCGTGCCTAGTCCCTCTTTCATGCTTTTACAGGGTTTTCCCAGCAGTTCTCGCTTAGTTACTCTGCATGTGAACTTTCGAATCAGCTCCTCTAAGTCCCGAAACAGCTGGCACGACATCTTCTTGGGGCTCCTCCATGTCACCGACTCAGGTCGCGCACGTCCTCAGGGCACGGCACCCCGTGTGGTCTCTGACTCCCCCCACACACACACCCGGTCGTGGGGAGGGGTCGGCAGGCTGGGCACGTGGTCAGGTTCCTGCAAGGAGGGCCCTCGGGGGTCTGTAATTTCTCAGAACTAAGACCCCACTAAAGCACAGCAATGTGAATAAGGCCCTGCGTGGGCACCACACCAGCCTCCCTGTGCTATCGGCCTGGTTCCACCACGTCACCTGGTGCAGGTGTCCCCCTCCAGCTCTGGCTCCCGAGGAGGCCTGTGCATGCCTGCGGGGCGGGGGGGATGTCCCACTCCTCCTCTGCACCCAGAGGAGCTGGAGCAGATGGGTGCTCCCCAGATTTGCCCCCCCAACTCCGTCTAGGAGTGGCTGGGGGTACAGACTGAGGGGCGGGGGCACGGGCTCCAGGACTGCCCAGAAGGGCAGGAATCAGCAGACTTTCCCATCCGTCACCCCTGCCTTCCGTCCTCATGACAGGAAGGGCCGGAGCGCAAGCCAACGGGACTGGGTGGACCCTCCGTGCCAGGCGCCCCTGACCCGTCCCAGCGGTCGAGGTGGCTGGGGACCAGAGACGTGAACCGACCACTCGCTGTCAGCTTCTGCCCCGCAGTCAGGGTGTCAGGTGGGGCCCCATAGGACAGGAAACAGGACAGAATTGGAAATGACTGTGGCCTCAGCCGGTTCTGCGCCCACGGCCCTCCCCCTGTGCAGCCCCCGACCCACAGGGATGGGACAGGCAGCGACAGCCCAGGCCCTCACTCCCCAGGAGCAGGGACAAGGGGCAGCACCCCCAGGGCCCGGACCCTGCTCAGCCGGCCCTCTCCTGCCCCCTGCTCCCGTCCTTGAACCCTGGCCCCAGCACAGCAGCCACCCTGGTCTGGAGACCCCACGGGCCACGGACCCCGTCCATCCTGTCCCACCTCTGGGCGTCTAAGCCTCCTCCCTGGAGGGAAGGAGAAATAAAACTCCCTGTTTGCATAGGACATGGTTGACTTTAGAAAATTACAGGATATCGACAAAAACACGTGTAGAAAGACAGAGAGGGCTCAGCAAACCCATATATGTGTCAACGGGTGCCTCCCTACTGACAAGGATCAATGGTGTGGAAACCAAAGACACCGTACCGGCTACAGTCACGCCCCGGAAAATAAGATATTGATATATACATATAACCGAATCACTTTGATGTATACCTGAAACATTGTAAATCAACTATACTTCAATTTTTAAATAAGAGCAAAAAAGAAAACAAATCTAAAAGCCGGCAAAACCCAATTCTCTGTGGTGATATACAGCGAGTCAGGGCATACTAAACACTGGTGTGATTCATGACAGACAGCTACTGTCTCTGGCCTTTGGGGAGGGGCGGGCTGGAGACTTGAGCTCTCTTGGAAAAGCTTGGGGGGGTGGGGTATGTGGATGTCTGTTGTGTGAGTCTTCATAGTTTTGCATCTCTTAAATTTTGCATAGTGAACTGTGGAACATCGGATGAAACTGGGAGTGGGTCAAGGGAACAGCAGCCGAGTAGCTGGCTGGTCTTTCATTTTTCACCGGATGAGGTCACCTGCTGCCTGCTCAGTACTGCCCAGGCATAGGGTCTCTGGGAAATCACAGTTTGGAATTAAAGATGAACATGAAACTACCTCTATTCCCTTTTCCAAAATGTTCAGCAGAAATTTGGGTCCAGGCACCAAAGCTCTATTACTTGGGGGAAGAGTTTGCAGAGACGTACCGACTGTACGGGAGCTCTCTTGTAAGCACGGTCTGAAAGCAAACAGCCCACAGACTCCAGTCTTTCAGGGGTGCTTAGCAAATTAAGGAGTGAAAGCTGGGTTTTTGGAAGTAGGTTTTAAGGACTGTATTTCTTGGAGTAGTCCCATAAAGTGTATATTTGTTGTAGTGTGGCAGTGTCTAAAAATTGAAATCAGTGTAAATGTCCAGGAGGAAACAGTAGTTAACCCCAGGCCCATCCTTCTTAGGAAATAGCACAGTCATCAACAGGAGGGGGAGAATTATATGCACGACATGGAAGGATGGCCAGGTTATGTCATGAACTAACAAAAGCAAGTTTGGAAGAGTTTAAATTCCCCAAAGTAGAATTGCTGGGTTAAAAGATGTGTGCATTCACACTTGTTTGGGTGGCTACAATTAAAAAAAAAACTTGAAAATAACAAGTGTAGACAAGGGTGTGGAGAAAATGCAACCCAACAAAATGCACTGTTGGTGGGAATGTAAAATGATGCAGATGCTGTTTTTGGTGATTCCTCAGAAAGCTAAGTGTAGAATTACTGTATGAGCCAGCAATTCCACTCCTAGGTGTGTATCCAAAAGAACTGATAGCAGGGAATCCAACAGATACTCATCCAACCATGTCCATTGCAGCACCATTCACAATAGCCAAAAGGTAAAAACAACCCTCGTGTCCATCCTCAGATGTATGTGGTCCATCCATACAATGGAATACTATTCAGCCTAAAAAAGGAAGGACATTCTGACACCTGCTACACCATGGATGAAACCTGAAGATATGCTGAGTGAAAGAAACTGGTCACAAAAGGAAAAATACGGTATGATTGCATTTATATGAGGTCCCTAGCGTAATCAGAGTCATAGAGACAGAATGTAGATTAGAGGTTTCCAGGGGAGGGGGGAGGGGGATGAGGAGTTAGTGTTTAATGGGGACAGAGTTGCCCTTTTGCAAGGTGAAAAGGGACCTGAGGATGAATGGTGGTGATGGTTGCACAACAATGTGCATGTACTTAATGCCACTGAACTGGCAGCTTAAAAATGGTGAAGATGTTAAGTTTTATGTTATGCGTATTTTATCACACACACACAAGCTACTTAGAGGAAAAAAGGAAATCATACAGTTATTTGAGGAAACCATGGGATTATCCCTTTCTAAGCTTTTCTTAGGAAAAGCCTTCCTAAGTATGGCTCTAAAGCCAGAAGATGAAACTCTGATAATCGACTCCATAAAATAAACTTCTTTGCGGCCAAAGTCAAAAACTTACTAGGAAAAAATATTCACATCCCAGATCCCACAGGTTCAGGGCTCAGTCCCACGAGGTTGTGCCCACTTCAGATGCCAACTGCAAGTCCCAGGCTGCCCCTGGTACTTCTGACTCAGTGGCTAAAGAAGGGGTTTCGGGCTTCCCTGGTGGCGCAGCGGTTGGGAGTCTGCCTGCCGATGCAGGGGACACGGGTTCGTGCCCCAGTCCGGGAATATCCCACATGCCGCTGAGCCTGCGCGTCCGGAGCCTGTGCTCCACAACGGGAGAGGCCACAACAGTGAGAGGTCCACGTACCGCAAAAAAAAAAAAAAGAAGAAGGGGTTTCCACGACCTCTCCTCAAATTTGATAATTTGCTAGAACAGTTCACAGAACTCAGGGAAACACTTACTCATGCCTACGAGTTTATTATATAATAAGGGATACAGATGAACAGCCAGATGAAGACATACATAGGGTGAGGTCCAGAAGGGTCCCGAGCACAGGAGCTTCTGTCCCCGTGAAGTTGGGGTGCACCACCCTCCTGGCACGTGGACGTGTTCACCAACCCAGAAGCTCCCTGAACTCCAAACCTTTGGGATTTTTATGGCGCTTCATCACGTACACAAGGTGGATCATTAGCTCCATCTCCAGCCTCTCTCCCCTTCCCAGAGGACGGGGGTGGGGCTGAAGTTCCAAGCTTCTCACCAGGGCTTGATCCTACTGGCGCCCAGCCCCCATCCTGAAACTATCCAGGGCCTCACCCAGAGTCGCCTCATTAGAACAAAAGGGACTCCTGTCACCCAGGAAATGACAACAGGTTCAGGAGCCAGAGCCAGAGACCAATATATTTTCTGTTATTTCACGTATGCCAACACCATTTACTGAACCCTCTGTCCTTTCGCCACAGTTTTGAGATGCTGTCTTTTTTTTTTTTTTGGCCGCATTGTGCGGCATGCAGGTCCCCCAACCGGGGATCAAACCCACCCCCTCAGCAGTGAAAGTGCAGAGTCCTAAGCACTGGACCACCAGGGAATTCCTGATACCGTCTTTTTAAAAGAAAATTTATTTTATTGAAGTATAGTTGATTTACAATTGAGATGCCGTCTTGATGATCTATTAAATACCTGTATTACAAAGTGAGTTTTACATTACAATTTACTTGATCTGTTATCGGCTAATTCTTTCTAGAGAAAGCTATAATGAATATTCTTGTACATATATCTTTGCTTCCCGCACCCCCCCGCCCCCCGTCCACCTAGAATTGCTAGTTTAAATGGGGTGACTTTGGAAATTGATTTAAACAAAAAAATCTAGCAGAGTCTTCAGTTCTGTTTGCTTTCAATTCCAAACGGGAAAAGGGAAACATCGAGAATCATCTTAAGGTTTAGCAAAGAAAACTCAGGAGTATTTAAACACTTCTGAAGCTACCTGATGGTTTTAATATGACCAGGACAACAACTTAAAAAGATAAATAGTCTGAATTAAGTTTTTTTGTTAAGTGATTAAAGATACTTTCATGGGACATAGAAATAATCTTTGTGGTGTGGGTGTCTTACAGGCCTCCCTTTGTAAGATACATTTGCAAATTCATATTTCCCAGGCAGCCTGCTTTTCTACAGCTGTGAAAAAAAGGGATAGTGAGAGAGACAATTGTCTCCTTATCTTGCTAGGAGTTCTGTTACTAGCAGTTTGGAGATGGTATTTTAAGGCCCAAACATGAAATTCCTTTATTTAGCCTGAAGCCAGTGAAAGCGTGTAGGCTTAAGAAGCTCAGAAATTTAAAACAGGGAGGGAATTCCCTGGCGGCCCAGTGGTTCGGACTCCATGCTCTCACTGCCAAGGGCCCGGGTTCTATCCCTGATGGGGGAACTAAGATCCCACAAGCCGCATGGCACAGCCAGAAAAAAAAAAACCAAAATTAAACAGGGAAAAAAGATAGATGGGGTTGTAAATGACACATGACTTGAGGGATTTATGTCCTATGGCTCTGCATTCTTTTAAGACATTTGATGCATTATTGCCAAATTTCAAGGACTTCTTGTCTGAAGGCAAAGTGGTAACAGCCCTCTCGCCTCGGGAAGGCTTCACCTACAAGGTGTTCAAGACTCAGGAGGGGTGAGAGCGAAGATTCTGGCCAGAACTAGAGAGCCACAGGGGTGGCAGGATGAGGGGCTTGGCACTAGAGTCAGCCTTGGGTATCCACGGGTTCCACATGCTGGGATCCAACTGATCTCGGGTGGCCTCAGCCTGCAGAGGCTTGAAGCAGGATTTCGGTTCCAGGCCAGAGATTGAAGTCAGGCCACAGCAGTGACAGCGCTGAATCCTAGCCACTAGACCAGTGGCCGGTGGCAAGGCCCTGGCCCATCAGCTGTGTAGAAGTGAATTTCCACATAGAGACGGAAAGTAGTGAAGCAAGTAAAGTGTTTATTAGGAGGAAAAAGGGTATGTGTGGATAAGACACGTGGGCGGGCTCAGAGCAAAAGTCGCGCCCTAGTGGTAGTTTGTATCACTCATATGGGGCATTTCTTCTGGGTCTCCTTTGGCCAGTCATCTTGCTTTGCCTGGTTCTGAGTCCAAATTTGGTTTATCTCAGGGTCCTCCCATGCGTGGGCGCACATCTTAGGCCAGATGGATTCTGGCTGAGTGGCCTATGGGTAGGTTGACATCACCTACTATATCGGTGGCACTCCCTCCCTTTTTGACCTTCAAGGAGCGTTTCTGTGTGTGTGTAGTCAGGAAGGTATTCTTGACCTCGAGAATGAGAAATATGTGGTCTCTTATCTGGGCAGGGCTTAGCTTCTCCTCCCTCCTGCTATTTTGGAGTGTCTGTCCACAGGGGACAAACTCCACCAGCCCAGCCTGCGACCCATCTATCTCCTGCCTTGCAACCAACCATGGATGGAAAATACTCAGGAGAAAAAAAATTCCAGAAAGTTCCAAAAAGCAAAACTTGAATTTATAACTATTTACATATCATTTACATTGCATTTACAACTATTTACATAGTACTTCTACTGTATTAGCTGTTGTAAGTAATCTAGAGATGATTTAAAGTATATGGGAGGGCTTCCCTGGTGGCACAGTGGTTGAGAGTTCGCCTAACGATGCAGGGGACACGGGTTCGTGCCCCGGTCTGGGAGGATCCCACATGCCGCGGAGCGGCTAGGCCTGTGAGCCATGGCTGCTGAGCCTGCGCGTCCGAAGCCTGTGCTCTGCAACGGGAGAGGCCACGACAGCGAGAGGCCCATGTACCGCAAAAAAAAAAAAAAAGTAAAGTATATGGGAGAGGGCTTCCCTGGTGGCACAGTGGTTAAGAATCCGCCTGCCAATGCAGGGGACACGGGTTCAAGCCCTTGTCCGGGAAGATCCCACATGCCGCGGAGCACCTAAGCCCGTGCGCCACAACTACTCAGCCTGCACTCTAGAGCCCGTGAGCCACAACTGCTGAAGCCTGCACGCCACAACTACTGAAGTCCGCACGCCTAGAGCCCGTGCTCCGCAACAAGAGAAGCCACCGCAATGAGAAGCCCACGCACCGCAACAAAGAGTAGCCCCCGCTCGCCGCAACTAGAGAAAGCCTGCACTCAGCAAAAGAGGTCCAATGCAGCCAAAAATAAATAAAAATAAATAAATTTATAATAAAAATTAAAAAATAAAGTTTATGGCAGGATGTGTGTAGGTTATATGCAAACACTATGCCATTTTATATCAGAGTCCTGAGCATCTATGGATTCTGGTATCCCCAGGTCATGGGCAGGGGGGGTTGTCCTGGAACCAATCCCCCTGGATACCAAGCGGTAACTGTACTGGGTTTTTCTACCCCTCAGGTCCTGAAGCATCATGCAGCAATTTAGGGAAATCTTTCCACACTGCGTTAAACACTGGTGTAATCTTTTTTTTTTTTTGAATTTTATTTAATTTATTTTTTTATACAGGAGGTTCTTATTAGTTATCCATTTTATACATATTAGTGTATACATGTCAACCCAATCTCCCAATTCATCCCTCCCCACCCCCCGCCGCTTCCCCCCCTGGTGGCCATATGTTTGTTCTCTACATCTATGTCTCTATTTCTGCCCTGCAAACCCGTTCATCTGTACCATTTTTCTAGGTTCCACATATATGCGTTAGTGTACGATATTTGTTTTTCTCTTTGTGACTTAACTTCACTCTGTATGACAGTCTCTAGATCCATCCACGTCTCCACAAAGGACCCAATTGGTGTAATTTTTTTTAATTTTTAATTTTTTATTGAAGTGTAGTTGATTTACAATGTTGTGTTAATTTATGCTGTACAGCAAAATGATTCAGTTTATATATATGTCCATTATGGTTTATCACAAGGTATTGAATATAGCTTCCCGTGCTATACAGTAGGACCTTGTTGTTTATCCATTCTATAATAGTTTGCATCTGCTAATCCCAAACTCCCAATCCATCCCTCCTCCTCCCCCTCCCCCTTGGCAACCACAAGTCTGTTCTCTATGTCTGTGAGTCTGTTTCTGTTTCGTAGATAGGTTCACTTGTGTCATATTTTAGATTCCACATATAAGTGAGATCATATGGCATTTGTCTTTCTCTTTCTGACTCACTTCACTTAGCATGATAATCTCTAGTTCCACCCATCTTGCTGCAAACACTGGTGTAATTTAAACACATACTGACCTTTTAATCCCCCTGCCCTACAACCCAGGCTCATCCTAAGTGAAAAATCCAACACTCCACTCTGCCGTTCAGCTAAGGATGCCTTGGGTTTCTCTCTCACTAAATTCTCCAAGATACTCTACTGATTGAATTCTACAAGTCACAGAAGGGAGGCAATGACATGATTCTCCCTTGCATGTATGTATGTATTTTGGCCCCATGCGGCTTATGCGGATCTTAGTTCCCCGACCATGGATTGAACCTGCACTCCCTACAGTGGAAGCCTAGGGTCTTAACCACTGGACCGCCAGGGAAGTCCCTCTCCCTTGTATTTAAAGTGTGTGAGGGACTTCCCTGGTGGCGCAGTGATTAAGAATCCGCCTGCCGGGACTTCCTTGGCGGTCCATTGGTTGAGACTCCACGCCTCCACTGCGGGGGGCACGGGTTTGATCCCTGGTCAGGGAACTAAGATCCCCACGTGCCACGCAGCAGGGCCAAAAAAAAAAAGAATCTGCCTGCCAATACAGGCGACACGGCCTGGTCTGGGAAGATCCCACATGCTTCGGAGCAGCTAAGCCCATGTGTCACAGCTACTGAGCCTATGCACCGCAACTACTGAAGCACACGTACCTAGAGGCCATACTCTGCAACAAGAGAAGCCACCACAATGAGAAGCCCACACACCGCAACGAAGAGTAGCCCCCGCTCACCACAACTAGAGAAAGCTCGTGCACAGCAGTGAAGACCCAACGCAGCCAAAAAGTAAATTCATTTAAAAAACAAAATAAAGAGTGTGAAAAGGAGAGCAGGGGATTGAGTCAGTCACCATCCACCTGTGCCGGGTCAGGCCAGACTGTATGTTAGATCTTGGGGACACCAGGATGATCTAACACTTGCCCTGCAGAGTATCAAGGCAGTCAGACACTGTCACAGAAAGGACAGCACATCTGGGGGGATGGGAACCAAAATGTCAGCTAACAGCGGTCCTTTGCCTGTGGTGGGAGAATGAATTAGGATTTTTTTCCTTGTTGCTTACCAATATCCTTGTTGCTTACCAATATCTCCTAAGTATTTTACATTAAATATGTAATTCTATAATTCAAGTTAAATAAATATTAAAGAGCTGGCAGTAGACTAGAGGATGCTTTGGTAACAAGGGAGGGGGCTGGGGACACAGAGGTACAGTGGACAGGATGGAAGGTGGAAGGGGAGGAGAAGGGTCCAGAGCTGAGGGATGAAGCTTCTGCTCCAGCCAGGGGAGTGACAGGGACCAGATTTCCTCTCCCATCTGACACAACTCCCAACTTGGGCAAGATGTATGAAAGAAGGTTTTCAAGACACTGGACATGTCTTGGAGGGACAGTGGCTCCTGAGACCCACGTGACCGCACCAGTGTGCTGCTTGAGAAAGTTCCAGGCTGTGGTGCTGGGGACCACGTGCTTCGGAGCCCGTGCGTCACAGCTACTGAGCTTATGCACCACTCTCTCCCTGAGCGCCCAGGGAGCTGAGAGTCCAAGCAGACCAGGGCAGGCAGACACCACCCGAGTGGCCCTCGCAGGGAATGCGTGAACACAGGGGAGGATGTCCCCGCAGGGGCATACCACGTGGCAGTGAAAAGAAACCAACTCCTGATCCAAGCTGCCACCTGTCTGAGTAACGTGGTGGAGTGAAAGAAGCCGGAAGAAAATGGTACATAGTGGATGATTCCCAGCTATTTAAAAGTCTAGAAAACGCAGCCGGTTTTAGTGACAGAGAGCACATCAGTGGTTGTCTGGAGGCAGAGGGGAGTGTGGGTCACAGATGCTTCATGGGTATATACACACGTCACAATGAATCAAACTGTGCACCTTAAGTATACACAGTTTACTGTATGTCAACTGTACCTCAATAAAGCTGTTTTAAATAAAATAGGCTTCAGTTTTAGGTTTACAGAAAAACTAAGCATACAGTAATGAAAGTCTCCACAGACTCCCTGCCAGCCCCCGTTCCCCCACCCAGTAGTTTCCCCTATTATTAACATTTTGCTTTAGTCAGGAACATTTGTTACAATTAATGAACCTACAAACAGATATATATATATATATATATATATATATATATGTGTGTATATATATATATATATATAAAAGTATAGTTGATTTACAATGTTGTGTTAGTTTCTGGTGTACAGCAAAGTGATTCAGTTACAAATATATATTCTAATACATTCTTTTTCATATTCTTTTTCATTATGGTTTATCACAGGATATTGAATATAGTTCCCTGTGCTACACAGTAGGACCTTGTTGTTTATCCATTCTTTACATAATAGTTTGCATCTGCTTATCCCAAACTCCCAATCCATCCCTCCACCATGGCTCGTTTATTTTTATCATTGAATATATGCCATTGTCTGGATGTACCATCGTGTGTGTATCCGCTCACCTATTGAAAGACATCCTCAGAGCTGACTGGGCAGGTTACGGCAGACACCACGGAGCGGCACAGCAGGACGAGTTGTGGCGCGTGGTGACCACCAGAGGGCGCCAGATCCCCCCTTCTCTCTCACCAGGACGGCACCAGCAATTTCCCCCCTGTCCTAACCCCACTGTTCCCTGTGCTAGGGTTGATCGGGTCTTTTCCTTGAACTAGGGTTGATCTGGAAACCACTTGTGGGAAAAATTAAGTTGGACTTGTTTCCTTCGGATTAAAAACCAAGGTTTCATGACTAGATGCATGACAGGGGGCGGGGAAGGGGTGGTACTTTGTTGAGCATTTATGGGGGCTTGTCCAGAATCTCTCCCCCAAAGAAGTTAACTGAAGAGTCAGCTGGATCTGCCCTCTGTAGAGATGAACTTAGCTGTTCGGGGGCGGGGGAGGGGGGAGGAAAAGCAGCCCCGAGCCTGATTTCCCATGACTGCAGTGCCAGCAACCCCTTGCCCAAGGCTGCTTGCATCTGGTTGGATGAGAAATCAGGGGCCCAGCAGAAGGGGTGATGGCCTGGAATCTTTGGTCCGAGGGACACCCCCCGTTCCTCTATCTATTGATTACGTTAAACTGCTGTTGCTGGCTGCAGACAGAGCTGCCTTCCCGGGTGTGTGCAGGGTTCCCCGCGTGGATTCAGGGCAGGTGATGCGTGCCTTGTCTTCACCCTGTGTTCTCAGTTATGGCTCTTTAGGGAAGATAGTGCCTGTTCCAGAAACACAGATCGATTTTTTCAGAATGTATTATTAAGGGCTCAGAATAAGGAATCTTATGCCTACAAATAAGTTTTTAATTAATTCATGATAACTTATTACACACTGAATCGTATTGAGGGACGATTATGCATTTAAAGCCATGTAAGTGTTCCCATGAAAACTTGAGTGAAGCTGGAACTTCTATTATTTATTTATCAGTGTCTCAAGGCATGAGGGATCTCAGTTCCTCGACCAGGGGTGGAACCTGTGCCCCCTGCAGTGGAAGCGGGGAGTCCTAACCACTGGACCGCCAGGGAATTCCTGAAGCTGGAACTTTTTTTTTTTTTTTTTGTGGTACGCGGGCCTCTCACTGTTGTGGCTCTCCCGTTGTGGAGCACAGGCTCCGGACGCGCAGGCTCGGCGGACATGGCTCACGGGCCCAGCCCCTCCGCGGTTTGTGGGATCTTCCCGGACCGGGGCACGAACCCGTGTCCTCTGCATCAGCAGGCGGACTCTCAACCACTGCGCCACCAGGGAAGCCCCTGTATAGCTTTTTTGTCCCTCATTTCCTGCATTACAGTTTTCTTCTGTTTAGTTTTTTTTTTTTTTAAGTAAAACGTTTAAATGCCTCTCCCGTTTCCTTTTGTGTATATTCTACAGCTATTTTCTTTGTGGTTGCCATGGGATTGCATTCAACATCCTAAAGTTATAACACTCTAATTTGGATTTATACCAGCTTAATGTCAATAACACACCAAACTGCTCCTTTACAGCTCCATCCCACTTTTTTCAGTTGTTGCTGTCACAAAATCGTATCTGCATACATAGTGTGACCAAAAACATCAACAAATAATTTTTAAAGTACATTAGTTTCTTAAATTATATATAAACTGGCTTTTAGACTAGTAATTGATTTATTTTTAAAAAGTGTATCAATCTCTTAAATCACATAGAAAGCAAATAGTGGAGTTACAAACCATTATTTACAATATTATTACAATAACAATAGCTTTTATAATTGCCCATGTATTTACCTTTATTGGGCTCTTTATGTCTCCATATGGCTTTTTTTTTTTTTTTTTTTTGCTGTGTTGGGTCTTCGTTGCTGCGCACGGGCTTTCTCTAGTTGCGGCGAGCAGGGCTACTCTTTGTTGTGGTGTGCGGGCTTTCTCATTGTGGTGGCTTCTCTTGTTGCGCAGCACTGGCTCTAGGCATGTGGGCTTCAGTAGTTGCAGCACGCAGGCTCAGTAGTTGTGGCTCTCGGGCTCTAGAGCACAGGCTCAGTAGTTGTGGTGCACGGGCTTAGTTGCTCCGCGGCATATGGGATCTTCCCTGACCAGGGATTGAACCCGCGTTCCCTGCATTGGCCGGCGGATTCTTATCCACTGTGCCACCAGGGAAGCCCCAGGGTCCATTCATTTATTTTTAACATCATTATTGGAGTATAATTGCTTTACAATTTTGTGTTAGTTTCTGCTGTATAACAAAGTGAATCAGCTATATGCATACGTATATCCACATATCCCCTCCCTCTTGCATCTCCCTCCCACCCTCCCTATCCCACCCCTCTAGGTGGTCGCAAAGCACTGAGCTGATCTCCCTGTGCTATGCGGCTGCTTCCCACTAGCTATTCTACGTTTGGTAGTGTATATATGTCCATGCCACTCTCTCACTTTATCCCAGCTTACCCTTCGCCCCTCCCCATGTCCTCAAGTCCATTCTCTACATCTGCGTCTTCGTTTCTGTCCGGCCCCTGGGCTCTTTAGAACCATTTTTTAAAATTAATTCCATATATATGTGTTAGCATATGGTAGTAGTTTTTCTCTTTCTGACTTACGTCACTCTGTATGACAGACTCTAGGTCTATCCACCTCACTACAAATACCTCAATTTCGTTTCTTTTTATGGCTCAGTAATATTCCATTGTATATATGTGCCACATCTTCTTTACCTATTCATCTGTCAATGGACACTTTGTTTGCTTCCATGTCCTGGCTATTGTAAATAGAGCTGCAATGAACAATTTGGTACATGTCTTTTTTTGAATTATGGTTTTCTCAGGGCATATGCCCAGTAGTGGGATTGCTGGGTCATATGGTAGTTCTATTTGTAGTTTTTTAAGGACCCTCCATACTGTTCTCCATAGTGGCTGTATCAATTTACATACCCACCAACGGTGCAGGAGGGTTCCCTTTTCTCCACATCCTTTCCAGTATTTATTGTTTGTAGATTTTTTGATGATGGCCATTCTGACTGGTGTGGGGTCATACCTCATTGTAGTTTTGATTTGCATTTCTCTAGTGGTTAGTGATGTTGAGCATCTTTTCATGTGTGTGTTGGCAATCTGTATTTCTCTTCTTTGGAGAAATGTCTGTTTAGGTCTTCTGCCCATTTTTGGATTGGGTTGTTTGTTTTTCTGATATTGAGCTGCATGAGCTGCTTGTATATTTTGGAGATTAATCCTTTGTTAGTTGCTTTGTTTGCAAATATTTTCTCCCATTCTGAGGGTTGCCTTTTCGTCTTTTTTATGGTTTCCTTTGCTGTACAGAAGCTTTTAAGTTTCATTAGGTCCCATTTGCTTATTTTTATTTTTATTTCCATTACTCTAGGAGGTGGGTCACAAAGCGTCTTGCTGTGATTTATGTCATAGAGTGTTCTGCCTATGTTTTCCTCTAAGAGTTTGATAGTGTCTGGCGTTACATTTAGGTCTTTAATCCATTTTGAGTTTATTTTTGTGTATGGTGTTAGGGAGTGTTCTAATTTCATTCTTTTACATATAGCTGTCCAGTTTTCCCAGCACCACTTATTGAAGAGGTTGTCTTTTCTCCATTGTATACTCTTGCCACCTTTATCAAAGATAAGGTGACCATATGTGCATGAGCTTATCTCTGGGCTTTCTATCCTGTTCCATTGATCTATATTTCTGTTTTTGTGCCAGTACCATACTGTCTTGATTACTGTAGCTTTGTAGTATAGTCTGAAGTCAGGGAGCCTGATTCCTCCAGCTCTGTTTTTCTTTCTCAAGATTGCCTTGGCTATTCGGGGTCTTTTGTGTCTCCACACAAATTGTGAATTTTTTTGTTCTAGTTCTGTGAAAAATGCCATTGGTAGTTTGATAAGGATTGCACTGAATCTGTAGTCATTTTCACAATGTTGATTCTTCCAATCCAAGAACATGGTATATCTCTCCATCTGTTTGTATCATCTCTAATTTTTTTCATCAGTGTCTTATAGTTTTCTGCATACAGCTATTATGTCTCCTTAGGTAGGTTTATTCCTAGGTATTTTATTCTTTTTGTTGCGATGGTAAATGAGAGTGTTTCCCTAATTTCTCTTTCAGATTTTTCATCATTAGTGTATAGGAATGCAAGAGATTTCTGTGCATTAATTTTGTATCTTGCTACTCTACCAAATTCATTGATTAGCTCTAGTAGTTTTCTGGTAGTATCTTTAGGATTCTCTATGTATTGTATCATGTCAACTGCAAACAGTGACAGTTTTACTTCTTCTTTTCCGATTTGGATTCCTTTTATTTCTTTTTCTTCTCTGATTGCTGTGGCTAAAACTTCCAAAACTATGTTGAATAATAGTGGTGAGAGTGGGCAACCTTGTCTTGTTCCTGATCTTAGAGGAAATGGTTTCAGTTTTTCACCATTGAGAACAATGTTGGCTGTGGGTTTGTCCTATATGGCCTTTATTATGTTCAGGTAGATTCCCTCTATGCTTACTTTCTGGAGAGTGTTTATCATAAATAGGTGTTGAATTTTGTCAAAAGCTTTTTCTGCATCTATTTAAATTATCATATGGTTTTTATCCTTCAATTTGTTAATATGGTGTATCACATTGATTGATTCGTGTATATTGAGGAATCCTTGCATTCCTGGGATAAACCCCACCTGATCAT